TTATGCTGCTGAGGTGGAACTCAGTACGAAAGTCATTTGGAATTTCTTTAAAGATTAAGGGTTATGGAACAAAAAAGTCAAGTTAAAGACCCCCAAAAATTTCACCAACACTGAGCCGGCAGATTAAGTTGGCTGTCTGTCAAGACACTGGTGTCATGGTCCTGGGTCACTGATCCAGCATTTTGAGTTTTCTTGTGTTTTGATGTCATTTTGTATTATGATTTAAGTCCATTTTGTTAGTCTTGAGTTTATTCTGTAGTGCCCAGGTTTTTCTGTTTATCTTTTTATTATTATTATTATTATTATTATAAATTACTATTATTAGACTATTAGATTCCCTCTTGTGTCTTTGCCCTTTATGTCTCTGTGTTTATATTTGTTGTGTGAGTTCTTGTGTTTTGTTTCCCTCCTCGTGTTTCATTCTGTTCCCCCCGCTTGTCATGTTTATCCATGTTTGCCCAGTCTATCATGTCTCTCTCATTTCCTTTCTCTCTCCCTTGTGCTCCTTCGTGCTCCCTCTGTCTCTCTTGTCTGCCTTTCCTCCACTCCTGTACCATGTTTCTCTGTTTCCTGTTTTATTATGAAAGTCAAGTGTTTCCATGTTTGGTGTGTCTAGTCTTGCTTCCCCTGTGGTGTCATGTTAATTCACGTCAGCTGTAGTCCCTGTGTGTTCTCACTTCCCATATTATCCTTCTGTGTATTTATGTCAGTGTCTCCCTCATACAAAAATTTAACTGGAAATCTAGAAATGGAACTATGAACAGGAGACACAGCCGTGTCTCAGCTGTGTCTCCTGTTCATAGTTCCATTTCTAGATTTCCAGTTTAATTTTTGTATTAACTTGTGCCAGCAATAAAGCTGAGTTTTTGTGTTCAAATCCTGTTTGTGAGTCTGCATTTGGGTACAATCCTGCCTGCCACACATGGTTCATGACAATTGGACGATCCTCGATCTAAATTAAGCCTGTTATTTGTGCCGATTGCAGCCCCATAACCATCAGACAGCATCTGAGACCGAAGGACTTCAAAAACAAAAAATGTCGCTAAAGGCCTCATCTCCTTGAATGCCACAGAACTGACCATTTGAACTTTGCAAGAGAGCACCAAACATGGGATATTGAAAGTTGTATTCTCTGATAAAAAATTTAACCTTGATGGTCCTGATGATCTCCAACGTTACTGGCATGACAAGCAGATCCCACCTGAGATGTTTTCTACGCGCCACAGTGGCGGGGGGTGCTTTTTCCTTTACTGGCCACTGGCTATGTCCAGATGTTGCAGAGAGGATTGAGGGCCCTCATCTTTGTGGTAACGACTAGGTTTTTCTTTTTTTTCTTTTTCTTTTTTTTTTGTGTCCCGTTTGGATCTTAAGCCATCAGAATTGTTGTCTTAAGGCCAAGAAAGATGCCAAGCAGATTTATTTTACCAAGTGGATCATCATGGCCTTGCCCTATCGGTCCATTTGATTGACCTTTATTATAATTATGAATTTATTTTATTTTCAGTTGCTACAAACGGGACAGACATGACTGGGGGATAGGACAGGGAGA